CAGAAGTACATATGTGAGTGTTACACTTTTTCTAAGCTCTCACTGATGACACCTCACTTCTGTTGCCTCAGGTAATCATCTGTATAGCCAGAGCTATGACAGGTTTGTGATGCTAGTTCTGAAATGTGAAGAATACTAGTGCAAAGGGGACTGAAATCAATTAGTGTATTAAATATTAGGTCTTATGAAGGCAGTCATCTGTCTCCATATTTAACAGAACAAATGGACCTCTCATTACTATTCTTACTTATCTTTCAAAGTGATTTTTAAACCCATTAAGGAATAATTCAACAGAATCCTCTTAGTGTAGTACAGCTGATAATAATTATTTTATAATGACTATGATCAAAAAGGAAGGGATTGGTTATATCACCTACTGCTAATAGTGCCTTTTTTTTTTTTTTTTTGCACATGTACTGAAGACTGAGTGAAGCTCTGACTCACCACTTTTTTTTTTTATATAGAACAGCTATATTACAGAAGCATTACACTCCACAGAGTTTTACCTGAAGGGATCTTCTAGATCTTGCCTCTTTTCATTTATTTATTTATTTATAGCTAGTGAGGTAATATCCTTGGAAACATGGGAAGAGGGAGTATTTTGTCAGATCTATCATGAAGCTACTATTCATTTCTGGACTTGGTTATACATAGCTAGACACAGCCTCTACTGACTTGAATTTTTTTGACATCTTCACTGACCTGATAAAATAAGCATTCACCTGTGTATTCAAAAATCTTCAGACCGTTTGGTACAAACAATTCCTTTTTATATTAATACATTAGCTGTTAGTGTACAACAAGAACTTGAGTAGTGTGTACATTGCATGCCTTCTTCATCAGAGCTTATAATAACCTGATGCATCTATGTAGTTCTTCTTGAAATAAATTTGGAAGTAATATAAAACTTTCTGGATGTGTTGTGTCTCTGCAATATTTTACTTTCAGTAAGTGATGAGTGAGCCTTCTCCTAGCTTAGTAGTGGACTATTTGCCTGACTACCTAATAAGCACAGATTGCTAGATTAATCACTTGGGCAATATTTTTCATTCTAGTTTGCATAAAGCAATATTTTTCTACTTACACGAAGCAGAGCTAGGAAAATGATGAGGCTGGAAAAATTGGACAGATGGTCTTATATTTTTCTATTTTGTAAATATTAAAGTACCATATGTAGAAAATATGATTTCCTTTTGGTTTCAGAGAAGTAGCTAGCATGTCTCCACTGAGTTTATAATTGCACTTTTGCTAAGAATTTTAAATGGAGTTTGGCCTTTTGACAAAACTGTGTTACAGTCTCAAATATCTATTTCATTGATGAAGGAAAAATACTATCTAACTTTACTTTTCACCTCTCATCATCCAGTTTCTTACATTCTACCTGACATTTATTACTTAATCTATTGCTTTTACATAGTTCAACATCAATTATTACAGTTATTGGAACTGAGCAATGAAATTGTCCTTGAAGCAATACTGCTGAAATGCTAGCGTATATACTTCTGAAGGAACCCTACAAGGCTATACAAACTCTATAAAAAAAGATAGTACCAGACAAGTGGTGGCATAAGACCTAAAAAGTGAGTCCGTGATTTGAAATAAATGTCCAGGCTCTAATCTCTTGAAATTAACCAGCCTCTGAATTTATTAGTACTTTGATTTCCAACCAGCAGTTGTATCTTCTGAGGTTAAAGTGAAGCTTACCATGACAGGTAAAGAAAGAAGTGAGGCTTTGAGTAACGTCCCGGATGAATTTTTACACCTTGATGCTTATTACAACAAAAATAAAACTTTGTCTGAAACTCATTTCCTTTCCTATGCTTAAGCTTGTTCTTTGCTTCTGTTGCCATGGACATAAAGACCATAGCTGAGAATGAGCACATTAGCCTCTTTGTCAGTGCTATGCATCTGTCCTAAAGGAGCCTTCACTGTGTTACTTGCTATTGCAATGAGAATGGTACTAGTACTTGCTCTGGTACTAGATTCAACATGATCTCCTCAGGAAAAGTATCCACAATTCAGGACATCTCATGAAAAATATTGTTTACTGCACAGATGTTTGATTTTTTTTTTAATTATTTTTTTTGGGGGGTAGAAAAATAACCAATTCTGTTAAATTTAGTTTGGCAGACTCATACCGAAGTAATCAGTTTGGCTTTTGATATAACTATTGAACGAACAATTCAAATCTGGCCTAATTCTGCTTATCCAAGCTGATTACACAGTACATCAGTTAATAGCAAATCTGTTTCATGACACTTTTCTCTTAATTGTAATAATTGCCACATTAATATGGATGGAATGCTACTTAGATAATGGTTTTTTTCTGTGCTCGTCTTTTAATTAATTTTTACTATCAGTAGAACCGAATAATTGTGGATTTTAGTAGGTTTTAGAGTTCTAACATATACACGGGTAAAATTTGTCACACTGAAAAGTTAGTTTGGAATGTAATACTTCCCACCTCTAGAGATGTTTGTCCTGTTGGACTTTTGTACCAATTATACAAAAAGAATCTAGTAAGCTTGGGACATCCAATATACACTGTAGTTTGTGTTGCATTTTTTCAAAAAGGTGAAATATTTTCACATACACATAATAGACCATAATTATCTCTATTTCAAGACTGAAAATCACTGATTCTTGAAATAATATTTTTTTAAACTTCAGATACACCCCAGTTGTCTACTATGTATAATACTGAATGAAAATCTAGATTATTTTCTTCTAAAAAATGAGTCCTTTTTTTCTCTGTTTGACTTTGTCTCGATTAGAGCTTGAAATTAACTTGACTGTCTTTATTTTTGTTTTTGGTTCATGAACATTTATTGTCCAATTTTGTAAGATAATGGATATTAAAGAGCTACAGCTACTTAGGGTGATGATAATGCTGGAATTGTGATTATTGAAGAGTACATAGTTATTTTGCATAAAAAAGCCCTTCACCAATAATACTGGCTGTGTTGGGTAGGTTATTCATAGGGTCCTGGGACCATATGATAGTTCAATGTGGAAGGGACTTAAGAAGGTCTCTAGTCCAACCTCCTGCTCAAAGCAGGGTCAGTTACAAAGACAGACCAGACTGTTCAATGCTTATCCAGTGAGCTCTTGAAACCCAAAAGAACAGAGATTGCACAGTCCTTCTGGGCAGTCTGCTTCACTTTCTGACTGTCTGCATCATGAAAAAGTTTTTCCATGTGCTCAGCCTGAACCTTTCTTGTTTCAACTTGTCTTTTGTCTATCTGCCATACACCATTGTGAAGAGCCTGGCTCTGTCTTCTTGATGAATTCCTCTAACAGGTGGCTGTTAGGTTCCCCTGCAGCAGTGTCTTCTTAGCAGTCTCTTAGACTGAACAAGCCTAGCTTCCCCCAGCCTCTCCTCACCGGTTGTATGACTCCCAACAGGTTATTCCCTCCGGTGTGCAGAACGTAGCATTTATCCTTATTGAATATTATGGTGTTACTGTCGATACGTTGTTCCAGTCTCTCTAGGTCAATGACCTCCTTCACATCATTGATAAAGGTGTTAAATAGAACAGATCCCAGGACAGAACCCTATAGTACCCCATTTGTTACTGGTTTCCTGGTAGAGTGTGATCCATTAGTCACTGCCTTCTAGGCCTAATCATCTAACTAGGTTTTTACTAGCCTAGCTGTCCACTCATCCAGACTGTAACACCCTAACTTGATGTGGTGAGTTGGCTTCCCCTGGCAGCCAAGCACCCACTCAGCCGCTTGCTCACTCCCCCCACCCCCAGCAAGACAGGGATGAAAATAGGAAGAGTGGGAGTGAGAAAACTCATGGGTCAAGGTAAAGACAGGAAAATCACTGGCAAATTACTGTTGTAGGCAAAACAGACTCTGGTTGGGGAATTTAACTTTATTTATCAACCATTAACATAAATGCTTAATTACTGATTTGAGTATTGGGAAACAAGACAAATAGTTAAACACTTAGGGAAAACACCTTCTTTCTCCTTTCCCAAGATCCAGCTACCTCTACTTCCCAATTCCTAGTATCCTCTCCCCTTGTTATCACCATCAGTGCAGGTTACACTCAGTCCGTTCAGTGAAGTGATGGGTGATGCAGGAGGTTGGAGTGAGGACATAGTGGTTTCTTTCTGCCATTCCTTCTTTCTCACTCTCTTCTCCCACTGCTCCTTCTGCCGAACTCATTTCCTCTTTTCCATTGTGGGTTATCCACAGGCCACAGTCCTTTTGGCGGTGTACGTGCTTAGACATGGGCTTATGCATGAGCCACAGTCCCATCAGGACTGTTACCAATTGTGCCATGGAACACCTCCTATTGCTCTGGCCTTCTTGTTACTGTGTCTTGGTTTTCTCAGAGGTGCCAAAAACTTCCCCAACTGGCTAAGCTATGTCCTGCAGTGGGTCCGTTGTGGAGCCAGTGAGAGTTGGCTGTGTTTGTCACAGTGCAACATCTGACCTCCCTCCCACAGAAATCACCCCTGCAACCATCCCCCACTACTAAAACCTTGCTACTTATATTCAATACACTTGAATACGAGAATACTGTGGGAGGCGGTGTCAAAAGCCTTGGTAAAGTCAAGGTAATTGCCACCCACTGTTCTTTCCTCATCCACAAAGCTAATCATTTTATCCTAGAAGGCGGTGGGGTTGGTCAGGCATGATTGACCCTTGGTCAGTCTACACTGAGTCTTCCCAGTCACTTTATTTTCATTGAGTTTTTGGTTTTATGTTCAAGTGTATTTCTATCTCTTTATCTCTTACTCTTTCATTTTGTCCTCACTTTTAGGATATGAGGCTGTTATCCTTCATGTAAAGTCTTTTCTTTATTTTGATTGTTTTCTCTACTTCTCTTTTGAACTGCAGTTCAAAAGATACAATGCTTAGCTGAACCTTCTCAGATTTGTTGAACGGGTTCTATAGTATAGAATGAGAAAATACAAAACCTGAAAATAAAAAATTTAAACTGATAAATGCCAAAATGTATTCACAACTTACTTTATATTTTTCAGCTCTACTTCAAGTTACAATTTCACTTAGCAAAGTTGAACTCAGTGTGGGTGAATCCAAATTCTTCACATGCACAGGTATGTATTCATTTTACTTGTAGGTATGTATTTTTTTTTAGATTTTCAACTTTCTACATAATTTTAAACTTAATTCATTGATTCACAATACTAACTTAAATTAGCATATTTTTGTATATTCACATTGACTTCTGATAGTTATGATAAATAGTAGATTTTCACTGGCTTCACATTTCCAGTCTAGAAACTATTAATTTCAGAGACTGACTCACTCAGTGTGAATTGTCTATATCACTACAGGTTATTTATATCTGTTAGCAAGTTTCTTTAGTTAAAATATTTTCACTTCTCTAAACTAAGGAGTTAAATAAGCTACTAAGCTAAACTTTAGTATCCTCTCCAACCTAATGAGCCACCCAGAGTCTTTTTTGGTGAGGTAGACATCAATCAGGAGAAGAAGGGTTTGCATTTGCAGCTGCCTGACGTGGATCCTTGATGTTTCTGAGTTGCCATCTTCCACTGACAATAACACATGGCCTGACTACACTGACGACCCAATTGACTGATGACTTCACCTGTTGATCCAGTGAGTGATGAACAGGCTGTTTCTTTCCTTTAAGATTTTATACTTTTCTGTGTTTTTTTCCCTCTTGAATCCTTGAGCTACTGGTTATCCTGTCTCAACAATCAAACATCTGCCTACAGTTTTGCCTTGCTTATCTTTCTACAGACTTTCTCACAACTCTCATAACTTAGCAATTCTCTAACATTGCATAAAGATTGTGCATTGGGTAGGCATATGCATTGTATGATGTCTACCTGAACTTCTAACGTTGCATTGCTTTTTGTTTTTCTTTGTAGCCATTGGTGAGCCTGACAACATAGATTGGTACAATCCACAAGGAGAGAAGATTGTTTCTAGTCAAAGAGTGGTTGTTCAGAAAGAAGGTGTTCGATCACGTCTAACCATTTATAATGCAGATATAGAAGATGCTGGTATATATCGGTGTCAAGCAACAGATGCTAAAGGACAAACTCAAGAAGCTACTGTTGTTTTGGAAATATATCGTAAGTAAAATATTATCAATTAATAAATGAAAGACTATGTTTTGAAAGCCACTGCTATTGAGAAAGTAAAGTCTACAAAAATATCTTCCCAGGCTCTGAACCATATCTTCCAAATAATTGCATCTCCTGCAGTTTAGTTAATAGATACTATGGTGAAGACTTAAATGAAATGGATGGTCACTTTGTAATACTATAGATCACTTTTCTTTTGTATCTTAGAATGCCATCTTATGAGGGTGTACTGTATGCCCCTCATGGAAAAGAAAAAAATATGAGAAAAAATTTATGTCAACCTAATTCTTATTACAAATACATCTACAACCTATTATAAATATGTGCATAAATAAAAATGCAGGAAGTGCAATATATGTCATTAAAAAAGTTGAGTTTAGACTGAATTACTTATTTTTATGTCATTCTTTTCCTGTCTTTGCCTTATAATGGAGTTTTGCCATAAAGCATTGAAGTTTAATGTGATAAGCAACCAAAATGCATTTCAATTACAAACAACTAATTGAGGAATATATTTGAGAAATAAATACATTCTATGTGGTGAGAGATTCTCTCTCATGGTCTTTGTTACTGAAAGGGTGGGACATAATGCCAGCAGCTTTTCAGCTGACTTATTTAATTTCATTGGAGAATATTTTTTTACTATTCATACAAAAATTGTTTGTGGATAGACTGAGCTCTAAGAAATTGCAATGAGTCAGAAAAGACAGAGTCGAAACATAAAGCACTGCTTCTGCAAAGTAAAGATAAGTCAGATAACAAAAGACATAAAATTAAAAAAATATGTTGATAAAACAACCATTAAAATGGTGATAGCAGTTACAAGCGATTACATGATGGCTTGAAAGCTGGCAGTTCAAAGGGTTTCAAGTTTTGTGGAATTCATTTGTATGCTCAAAACTGCCAGTCACTCCATTAGCAGACTGCTGAGCAAGGTTGAAATCTTTTGAAATGTTTACATGTGGTAATTTTAATAATTCCGAGGTTAGATAAAACCAAAGACCTACACAAGAAATGTGAAGGTTTGTGGGAACTGATATATAGAAGTTTCATTATTCATATTTGTGATATATTGTAAGGAAAAAGCAGGATACACGATACTTCTAGGGTCTGGTTCAGTACTCACTGATGTCTGTGAGAGTTTTTCTTTTGACTTACATATGGTCAAATACTTCAAACATTTAATACGAATACTTTTTAAAAGTATACAAGAGATGTACATAACAAAAGTGTGCTCCCTCTGCTGTGGGACCTGTGGATTATTTGAGCCTGCACTAGTATCAATGCAAAAAGGTGGAGGTGGAGTTGCATCTCTGACTTATGTTCTCCAAAGTGTCCTCTGAAATGTAATTGGCAGTCTTTGATCCCAGAGGTCAGTTTGTTTCTTCTGTGTGCAAGAAAATCTCCCAGAATTTTTTGTCAGGCAATTGGTTTCTGTGTTAGATTTGTATGAGATCATGGATTAATGCCATCTTGGACTTCTAACACTAAATTCTAATAATACTAAACTTATTTAATCCACTAATAAAATTAAATATCAAGTTTGATTATTTGGGGTTGGAATAATTAAAAGGCTCATCAGGCCTAAAAAAATCTCATTATTTCCTCAAAAAGATGCTACAAATTCTTATGACTTAATATTATTAAGTTTTTCCGTATAGTTTCCCACTGGCTTTTAAGATTTTATGGTTTACTCAGCTAATGGCTTTCAAAGTCAGTGAGGCTAAAGTTCAGCCTTTTTAATAAGACTTTTGCAAATAATTTTGGTTGCTTTGATGGAGGTTTTGATGGAATAAAACATGAGGTTTTAATTCAATTATAAAATCATGAGGAATAAAATACAGAGTAAATAGACTATTAACCTGAATATATAGACCTCTAAAAAAATAGAGTTTCAAAACTATACTCTGGAACATTGAAAACCATGAAAAATATATTTATAAAACATACTTAGTTTATATAAATAAAACAAAGATTTTCATGATGCAAAATTATTGTAAAATAATTTCTACAGACAGAGTGGTTAAGTCATGTGTCCAGGACCATTTGAGTCTTATCTGGGAAAATTATATTATGGAAATAATTCTGTATTATCACAATGAGAAGTTTTAATAGTCATCTTTATCTGATTTGGTGTCATATGTAATTTTAATGCTAAGTGAACTGGAAGACACTTACTATATTCTCTTTTCTTCCTTTTCAGAAAAGCTCACTTTCCGAGACATAGTATCTCCACAAGAGTTCAGGCAGGGAGAAGATGCCGAAGTTGTTTGCCGTGTTACTAGTTCACCTGCTCCCATTGTCAGCTGGTTGTATCGTAATGAGGAAGTCACAACTATTGCTGACAGTTAGTATTTTGGTAACTCTTTAAGTTATACATTCTAATTAATATTGAAATATTATTGTAAAAGAAGACTAATCACATTATAGTGGAGGATGGATTTTGATTAGCCCATCAGCTTAAGTAGAATTTAACTAGGTGTTGTGGTCTATAGAGAATCCATATGCAATGATTTGCTTCAAGTATCATTTTTTTCCAGTTGGAAATTTTGACTGGATGTGACATGAGGGTCTAAATGCCAGAAGGATTGCTGTGAGCTGCTTCACAGGAACTCTTCCTGGGTTGCCATGTATGTAGAAATTGAACACATTTTTAAAACACACACAGATAAACTTCATTGTGCACACAAAGCTATGACACTGAGCAAACACTGCATTGACTTTGGTATACTTGCACATTAGCTCAGAGACTTTCAATTGGATAGGCTTTTTGCATAATTGTGCAAATTTACTTGTATGAGTATAAGCTACCCTTCGAGGTAGCTGAGGATATAGGTGATCTGTTTAGGCTAGATTCCCTAACAGCTAGACTGATAAAGTTAGCTGAAGATGAATCTCACCTTCCCCACATGCAAGCTCTAAGCCTGTAGAGAGACAATTAGAGAATTGTGTGTGATTTACCCCTCAAAAATTGTGAATAATTTTTTCAGTGCTGTCTCAATAGTCGTCTTTGCCTTTATGGAAAACCAGACTTTCCACATTTTCTAGAAATGGAACTAACATTGTTGATGAACCAGCTTATTCATTTTCTTATCAGTCTTTATCTCTGCATGTACTAAACCTCAAGGTTGTAGTGTATGCACTTAAAATTCTTGGGTTTTAGAAATCAAATAGTATTTTTATTTCAAAATGAAAATGAAAAGTTATATTTGGTCTCTTCTGAAATCCCATGAACAAATGTGGAGCAGTTGCTGGGGAAAAAAAAAAAAAAGCTTGTGTGATGTTTCTGGACTCAGTCTTAGACTCCTCTCCATTATGAAAGAAAGTTTTGATCAAACTTCTTTCTTTTTTAGTATATCCTATCCATTCTGTCATCTAGACACAGACGCTAAGAAGAAATAGCAAACTTCTACCCTTAGAAAAAAGAGTTGAAATTTTGATATATATATACTTAAGTAAGTGGTGAATGTAGGTGAGACGTAGAAAAATAAGAATTCTGAAAACAAAACAAGATTTGTCATTTTAGCAAAAAGTCTTTCAAGGATGCAGCTCATAGCTTGAAAAAGTAAAAGTGCCTCAAAGATCTCTCTCAAAAAATTTTATTATTGCCACTTTATTTGTTTTTCCAATCAATCTGGTTGCTGTAGGTTTAGCAGAGGAAATAAAGTAACATTTCCTTTCTTTTCCAAAGTCATACATTCTGAAGATTTTAAGTTTTTAAATTTCAGTGTGTACATTTGTGGTTTTAGCCATTTTCTTTCACAGTGCTTACCATGTGAAAGGTAGTACAATAGAAACCAGTTTTAATTTAAATAGCAGAATACTTTCCTTATGTTCTGATCTAGAGTATTATCAAAATAAGATCCCAGTAATGCTTGGGAGGAAGTGAGGTTTTAAATAATGTAAAAATAGGACATAGCTAACTTTGTGAGTTCTGGCAATGTCTATATGGGTTTATAATGCAGGTGGAAAAAGAGTATACCAAAAGTCTTACAGTTAAGAATTCTTTTTCATGCCTTGTGAAATAAAAAGACTCAGTTTCACATTACATTTCCAGCTTCAAAATCTCCAATGAAGGATCAGTATCAGTAACCTATTCACATAATTTTAAACATCAAATTAGTGTGTCATATCCTAAATTGTGCCTCTTAAAAAAGAAGTAACTAATTATTCTTTTTTGCGTTTTACCTCATAGTAAGCTAAAATACTGAATAATTGTATATCCAGACTGATTTGTATATTGCAGTTTATTCATGGGGCATGAGAAAGCAGTTTCTATTTTAAGCATTCTAGCACTGGCATAATAGGAAGACATGAGAAAATGTCATTGTTTTAATTTCATGGCTTTTCTGATATATTCTTGACCATTCTTCTGTTGTATGCTACAACTAGTAGGATTTTTGCAGCACAGACTTTTTACTATTTCAGTTTTGCAAACTCTTGACAGTTACTAGTATCTATATTTGGACATTCGATTTCAACAGAAGACTGATTTCTTCTCCTAGAAGGCCTATGCACAAAATCAGAAGTGAAAATTTAAAGATTTTTGCTGTGTAGTAGGCTGATAGCTAAAATAGCAGTAGGTGAAATAGCCTCTGACCATTCTGAATTAGTTTCTGGATATTCTCAGTACCTTAGCTGCTCCATTGCTAGATTATTCTAAGATTTATAGTCTCTTTTGAGTTCTACAAAGATGTGAGTAAGAAACTGTGGGAGTGACTGTCCATCATTCTTCAGTAAAAGAAAAAAAAAAAAACCAAAAAAAAGCCAAAACAAAAAGTAGGTGAAAAATTACCTCCAAAAGTCTTTCTGGTCTTATATGGTATGTTTAAGGTTTAATAGAGAAATATACAAAACATAATTTTGTGGGAATGTTCTAAGAATTTTTCTATTGTTATCAAGATCTGAATTGTCCTGATTCATATTCCATTGTATGGCAATCAAGGACATTTTACTAGCTATAAAAGTGAATGGGATTGTTTTAATTGATCAGATCTTATCTGGAGTCTTAAGTGACTTGTTCTGGTTTTGCAGAATTCCGGAGGTTCAAAGGACATTAAATACAACTCATTCTACAGTGCTTAAAGCAAATATAGAAATTTTATGTACAGGCATTTGTATATTAGTTTATGGTTGGAGTTAACCTTAGAAGATTAGCTGCTGCTGTTAATACAGATATGCTACATATAAAATACCCACCATCTGTATAAATACACGTGTTTTATTCTGTCACTGCTCAGATCACTAAGGTTTGTCAGAATTCCACTGTCAGGTTAGCACTTTTCTATAAATATAGCATAGGTGTGGTATGTAACTATAATGCATGTAGAAAATTATATCTTGTATACAACTGGATAGAAAATATTAGGGACTGGTATTTCCTGTATGCTTTGATATATTTTATTGTTTTACATTCTCAATTGTGTAATTCTATTAGGGTCTATTTTTTTCCCTGCATAGGCATTTTTAGTATGTGATTCTCTTCAAGACCACAATGTATGTATGATAAAAGGTTCTGGAAAACTGAGAATTTACTTTGTGAAAATCCTTCTAGTTACAGTTCTAGGGAGCTACATGTTACCTTATGATTGATGTGGTCTGTAAAAAAAAAATCTCTTTTATTCTGAAAGACTTGATAAGACAGACTTCAAATGAGCCAGACTAACCCTCTAGATCATATTGGGTAGGCTATGGAAAGCCAGTTCTGCTCCTTCCTCAGTGTAGTCTCTGAGAACTAGGTTTCCCACTTCAAGACAGTAGTTTGTGCAGTTCTAATTACAGTAGTGGAAAAAGTGGTGTCATTGCTCTGCAGAGCTAATGTAGACCTGTTAAATACACTTGTGTAAACTGATGTGCAAAAGTGAATGTTAGCTCTAGGTGGTTAACATGATGTGTTTACGTTTGGTCTAGAAGAAGAAATTACTGGGTTGAAAAAAAGTCCCTCCTGTAGAGAATGACTGGTTTGATTGTATGAGGGACATCTTAAATAAGAGTCTTGGTCTTCAACTTTTGCTGAAAGTTTTGATTTTTTTCTTCAACAGGTCTTTTGTCATGTCCTAGTCTTAGAATGAACAGCTGTGCCTAACGTTTTTGTTAGACATTGTGGGTCATAGTCTGGTACATACCACAGAACACATTAAAATTTACAACAATAAGTCAAAAATTCCTCAAGCTCTGATTATGAGGCACTGCAAAGACACAGGCAATCCTTTTTGCCATCCATACCACTTAACATCTGATTTGACTGAAGGGAAAGGTGGTGTGACTGTTCTTCTAAATTAGCCATTTGAAATTGAGTGAGTTGAGTCCAGCTAATAGAGTGATGAGCTGGAGGAGTGTAGTGCCCAGTCACTGTCCACATCCACCAACTGTAATCCATTTAGTATAGGACACAATTTTTATTATGATATCCATGGGACAATGAACTTTATCTGTGTGCACACCATCTCTATGTATCATGTTATATTACTAGTTTATTCTACTGCTCTGAACCTCCTGAGTGTTCCATAGTACATGTGCACCCATCAAGTTCTAACCTCTGCCTGTCAAGATTTCAGTGCATTTGTTGACCCAGCTGGTCTATGCACAGTTGATTCCTGCT